CTTTAGCACGGCGAAAGTGTTCCGCCGGTACTATTGTCTGCCTACGTGACTGCTCAAGGTTTAGTATGCAGCAAGGGGGGCCCGACCAGTCAGCCCACCAGGAGGACGCCGACCCGGCCTGTGGCAAGGCGGTGGCGGCGGGGCGGTTGCGGCAGTGCCTTGACATTGCACCCCTGCCGTGCCACGCCGCGCCCTGCCGGAGCGGCCGGGCTGGTCCGGGTGGCCCGTGAGTTGGGCGACCTTTGGACGCCCCGCTGGGCCACTGGGCTGGGCAGCGTGGTGGCCGAATGCAAATGGCCAGCATTGCCTGCGGCCCGGCCCAGGATCTGGTTCCGCGCTGTTGCCATACGGCAGCCGCCACTTTCCTGCAGGCCCCGGGCCTTGAAACAAAAGGGATCGTCCAGAAAGTTACGGTCGTTTTTCCTCAGCTACAGTCAGCAACACAAAGCGTGAGCTCAGCGCCTGCGAGAATCGGGGTGGGCCAGGCCGCAGTGCACGCGTGCCCTGCGGGAGAGGTACTGTCTGCCTATCAGAGGCGCTATGAGAGCTGGCACTTGCATCGGCTAAACAAGATATGCGGTTCCTGACCGGACGTACTTTTCGGATGCTCGCAAAATACACCGTTGCATTTTGGAGGTTCTGCGCGGACGAAAGCGCCTATCTCTGCACCCTCCGGAGCCGCTCGGCCTACGCCTACCACATACATATACCGCATAGACCGCCAAGTCTTTCTGACTCCGACCCGCACGTCTCGCACCGGAGCAAGTTTGTCTTCCGCTTGTTTCAAACAGCCAAGGAACACCTCCCCGCCCCGAAAGCCGCAGACGCACGACGCGGCAGGGCAAAGGGGGTGAACACGGGAACGGAAATGCGACACGGAAGGGGAGGGGGTACTGCCGAAAGACGCTCGCCTCGCTCGTTTCATCCTCGCTACTGCTACCCTGAGAGGTACGCAGCGCCCCGTGTTCTTTGCTGACCACCCGTATGGGGGGTACCACCCGACCCAACCCGGCGGCCCCGACTTCCGATGGCGCACTGAGGTGCGAAGCAGAGGGTGGCGTGAAATGTCAAGGGCAGCAGGGCCCAATGCGTCACTACTCGAAAGAAACACAGCAAAAAAAGTTTCTTGAATTTCAAGACCCGTCCTTGGATCTTATGGAGAACGCCGAACGCCAATGGCATCTAAGACCGGGACTCGATATTCAAGAAACTATTGTTTGTCTTTGTTTTTTTTTTACCGTGGAGGCGCGTCGCGTCGGTTGGGCAGAACAAAATTGGCGGAAACTTTGAAACGGCAGCGACAGCAGCAAGAGCAAAAGCGTGGCGTCTCGTACCCACGCTGCGCACACCTTACCAGTACTTACGCGTTGGCCGCCGACGCTCTTCAAACACATTTCGTACAGATAAACAGACACATGTGTGCGCCTTTTGCAACGGCGGCGCAGCGCGCCCACAAACATAAAATATTTGCCGGCCCGCCCCGCCCCGCCCCGCCGCCGTCAGTCCCCCAGAGACTCTTATTTTTCCACGGGCCGCCCGCCCGCGGCGTCGTCAGTCAAATTGCGAGAGCAAACGTGCACGCGCACGCGCGCTCCCCCGTCCCGCCCCGCCTCACGTCGCCCCCTGCTTGCACGCGCTCTCTCCTTTCGTATTTAAAAATACGCGCCGAGAGGACCAGAGAAGTAATTCCACGTGATTTACCCACCCCTTTTCCCTCTTCTGCGACTGCCCCATTATCTACGCGACACGTTCGCCTCAACGCGGAAACATGATGGGCCGGAAATGAGATTGTTGGCGTGGCTTGTGTTTGTGCGTGGTTTGTGTGAATGTGTGCGTGTGTGTGTGTGTGTGCGGAGGAGGGTGGCCGGCCCGTACGACCGTGGAGGGCCGAGGACACACACAAAACTCGACGAAAAGATTGTCGCGGGGGGACGCGCGCCACGTTTGTTATGGCGGCGATAAGCCCGCTTCATCCACGCCTCCGCGCGAACGGATCAGTTCGCACGTTTTGCCCGTTTGTGTTTGAGGAACGTGTGCGCGCCCTCTCACTCGACCCACCCACCTAAATGTTTCCGAAATTCGTCTATACACTAGAAAAACAATGGTTGGAATCGACACCCTCCATGGGGTGTTAATGACCTTCGTGCCTAGAAGGCACTAAAGGATTCACACCCCTGGAAAAGCACTCAAATACCCCAAAGGTGTTAAATTTTAGTGCCTTCGGACAATTTCGTCCATTTGTAAAGGCATCCAAATTGCACCTTTGAAAGCTCAGGCTCTAGGTTGAATGGTGAAGCTGAAGAAGGGATAAGTCCATGGTTCTAACGCCAGACTTATCCCCTTCTTATCCCCCTCTTAATACCATTCAGTTCTACTCTACCTTTGTTTTTCCAGTGTACCGGATCCGTTATCTGTGTGTTGAAATTTAGCTCGTGTGCCTATATACATGTCCACAGTTCTAGTTTCGAGTCCAGCAGGGTTCCTTGGGCATTTAAGATCGCCGGCCGGGCGGCCTTTATTGTTAATTATTATGGAAATGCGTCGCCGGGTGACCGCAGGCAGCAGCTCTGCTTGCGCGTGCGTATCTCGGCTGGGATCAACGGCGTCGTGACCTTACGCCGCGCGCTGCACGCAACGAGAGCCGACGGCGAGCTCGGAGCGGAGCCGTGGCGGCTGCTGCGCCCTTCAGCCCGAGGGCCACGCTCTGTGCTGAGCACGGTGCGCCCAGCACGGCCGAGGGCTCCGCTGCGTGCCCGCCGTATGGTGGCAGGAAACAATTATGAAGCTCACCTTAAGGGGGCAGACCTGTGAATTGGAGGGTTTGAGAAAATAGTCACTACATAAAAACTACACGCCGCATCAATTTAGGATTAAAAATTGAGAGCATATAGATGGACGCTAATTTTGCTGTTGGCGCAGAAAAAAACCACGCGCCGATCACCCACCCTGTATGTAACATATGTCGTGTACGTAACCTATGAGTGAATAACAGTTTCTTACGTTCATAATTATTTTCCGTTACCGTTACCGCTGCTAGGGCTCTAGTACGTCGAGGATTGCGCAACAACTCCAAAGAGGTACTAGATTTAGCGCAAACAGTGCCGTCACAGAGGCACAGTTGTGTGACATCGTCTTACCAGGATACATTCCGGATCACCCGTGCCACGCCTTCGAGAGGCGTTTTCAGCAGATTCTTTGTTTTTTCCAAGGCCGTCCCGCCCGAACCTGAGGCAACGCCCGACCGGCCACGCTACGATGCGCGCACACCCAAACAAACTGAGTTCCTGGACCAAAGTACAATGAATGTACTTTGTGCAAGAACTCAGTTGTTTAGGACGCGCACGGCCTGTAAACGACAATACAGACGTCCACGCATACGGAGAATCGCAACGGCGAGTGACAACCGCAGCCCGCGCCACAATGCTCCGCGCGGCGGGGGCGGGGCGGGGCGGGGCCAGGACGAGTCGTGATAATACTCCGACACTCGAGCACGCGCGGCCCGGACCGACCACGGCCCTCGACCCGCCCAGCCACCGGTCGTGTACACTGAATAAAACATTGTAACCCCCCGTGTAAGTGCGGGGGAGGCGGAGGGTCCGCCCCGCCCCACAGAGGCGTGAGTAGGAAGCGCAGGGAGCTAAGTCACCCCGGCCTCATCTCCAGCGGGCCCGGGAGAGGGGCGCGCACATTAACACCTCTACGCAGGCCTAGTAGGCCTCGGCCGCCTGATAACGCGGCCAAGAAAGGGAAAGAATGAGAGAGAGAGTGAGAGAGAGAGAGAGAGAGAGTGAGAGAGTGAGAGAGTTAGAGAGAGAGAGAGAGAGAGA